AATATTTTGTGAATTCGTTTTGTAACTTTTAATTGTTTGTATTTATTTTAAAATTAAAAATTAAGTTTGTGGGGTGGGATGAGAAAAATTAGTTTTTTTGTATTGTAGGTTGTAAAAGATGAAATATACTGATAAAAAAAATAACAAAACATCTCATAAACATTTAACCGTATATAATCACATGATAACAAGTTATTGACCATCAAGTTGCACATTTTAGCTTGAAACACATTACATATTTTGTTGAAAATCTCTTTATTGCACAAAAATAAATAAATAAATAAATAAAATAAAAAAATAATAATAATAATAAAAAAGATAAAACGTTGTGTTCATAGAAAAATATTATGATCTTGATTTGAAAAGTTTTGAGGGAGTTGGTATACTCCATTCTTAATTCCACGTATGTTTCACAAAAAGGTTTCAACAAAACATCTCATAAACATTTAACAAGTATATAGTCACATGATAACAAGTTATTGATCATCAAGTTGCATATTTTAGCTTGAAACGCATTATTGTACAAAATGAAAAAAAGCTAAAAAGTCGTTTTCATAGAAAAATATTATGATCTTGATTATATTAACTAGTAACTATGCATATTAATATTAGTAGATAAGTTAGTAAATTGTTTCTGAAATGTTCTAGTACATAAGCGAACCAGCAAAATCGGTCGGGTTAATATATTGCGAACATGTGATGAGGTTGGCAGGAAGAATGTGGTTGAATTTAATAGCATTGAACCAACGTATTCGAGCTTATCCAATCATATCTATTCCAACTCGCACATAATTTATTACAAGATACCTGTACAAGAAAACACGCTTCGGTTCTCTTTAATTTTCTATGAACCATATTAAAAATAAAATATCATATATAATGTTTGGATAAAACGTTTTTGCATACTTTTGACCAAAGTTAGTATAACGGGATGTGTTATTCTAATTATTGTTTTATAATATATATATATATATATATATATATATATATATATATATATATATATATATATATATATATATATATATATATATATAGGTTCAAATGAAAACTACAAAAGATTTAAAACCTTAAGAATCATCATTTAATAAGTAAATATGTATTGTGAATATTATCACTCATGTTTAAATCCTTAATTTTGACTTTTTGATAAGAAAAGTGTAAAATCGTGATTTTTTTAGTCTAATATTTTAATTAATAGGTTTATTCATATTTTAATACAAAATTTATATAAAACATAACTTTATACAATTCATTTACAGTTTAATATACAAAATTCACAACTTAATACAACTATTTTTACACGAATTCTCAAATTGTGGAAAGTCAAACTCAAACTTTACCACCACCATAACCACCACATGACGCCACCAACCACATTTGCTAACATTTCAACAATTATTTTTTTCCAAATGAGATCTGTATATAAAGTCATGCAATGATATGTTAAATACTATATTCACAGTGTAATGAACTGATTAATTCACCTATTAATGCAAAATAAATATAAAAATTAATGCATTCTTACATATTTATACAACACAAAAAATAAATATATTCACAAGAAATTAATACAAAAATTCTTACATAAATCATTTATATTTTAACACAAAATGGCAATATGGAGTCAATTCACAACTTAATATAGTCAATTACCGTTTAATATATAAAATTCAAAGCTTAATATAATAAACTAACAATTTAATACACAAAAATGTCATATTCTTAACTTAAAACTTACATTTATACCTTTAGATCTAATGGTTGATGTTTTTTCAAAGTTTAATTTACACAATATTCTCAATTTAAATTTAATATAATTTATTTAAAATTACGGAAAATCATATATATATATATATATATATATATATATATATATATATGTATAATGATTCTTTCTTCACATATATCAGAAGCAAAAATAAAATTCTTAAAAAATTCACAGCTTAATATAGTCAATTCACACCTTAATACAACCACTTTAAAGTTTAATACACAAAATTCACAGCTTAATATAATAATTCAACGTTTACTACTCAAAAAATTATATATGCACAACCATATTCTTTAACTTAAAACTAACATCTATGTATTCATATCCAGAGACATTTTTATCTATTAAATTGTGAATTTATTATACTAAGTTGTGAATAAATTTACACTTAAATACAACAAATTCACAGTTTAATACAATATATTCACAACTTATTTACAAGTATAATCTCATATTTCAGTGTAAAAACAACTAATTATAGTTTTATAGATACATAAACTATGTAATACTTTAGAAGTAAACATCAAAAGAAAAACATATGCATCACTCATAAAAGATGATAATGTATTTGAAATCAGCAAAGACCATGAGTGAGAAATATAACATCTACCACCACTATCAACACTATCAAGTATCGTACACTACCATCAACCATTACCGCCACCAAACGTCAATGTCAACACTGCCAAGATCCTTCCCCAAAATTTAAGATTCGAATAAAAAAAATCAGAATTCACAGTTTAAGTCAACATTTCAGACACTAATTGACAACTTAATTCAATATTTCAGACATTAATTCACAACTTAGTGTATAAAAATACATATTCACAGATTAATAACTTACACACTCACAAATTAATGCATAAAAACACATATTCACAATTTAATACATTAAATTCACAGCTCATTATAGGTATCAAATTCAGATCTAGATAAAAAAAAAATCAGAATTCACAGTTTATTACAACATTTCAGACACTAGTTCAAAGCTTAATTCAATATTTTAAACACTAATTCACAAATTAATGCATCAAAAAATCAGAATTTGTAGTACAATACATAATGTAGACACCAGATCATATCTTAATACAAAATTTTAAACATTTATTCATAACTTAATAACCTAAAGACTTCGTTAAGGCATTTCATCACTCACCTTTTGTGCACATTGTTTCTAGATTTGAGGTGATTTACATTGTTGAGATTGTCGTGTTCCTTCGAGTCAATACCATCAATTCACACTTTAATATGGTTAATTCATAGTTTAATACATAAAATTCACAATTTAATATACGCAATTACATATTCATATTTAATTTCTCAACTTAAAACTTATATTATAAAACTTTCATTTACAGTTTAACAGAGTAGTTCAAGGCTCTTCATATAATTCATAATATCAGTTCGAAACTATCATTCACAGTTTAATATAAGTCAACAACTTATAAAATCCTTCAAACATTTAATCAAACATTGTGTGACGAATTTCAAAACTAGATAATATTTATCTTAAAAATCGACATGATTAATCTTAAATTAAAAACTCATTTATTATAAATTTATATATTTATGGAACTTACCGTTTATTGTATAATTATTAATAACTATTTCTTAAATTCTACATAACTAATCCTACATCAAAAAATCATTTACGTTATATTTATATATTTATGGAAGTTGCCCTTACATAAAAATGGTGTATAATTATTTATAAGATTCCAATTAGATATATCATACTAATTAAATATAAATAATAGAAAAAACTAATTAAATCCAAAAAATGGGAAAGTATACATCATTATGATGTTTTGACTTTCCTGGCTCCATCACAGCAAGAAATATAGAAAATGACTAATAATTGTTCATATCTAGATATGTTAGCCAATTGTCGCACGCCTAACATCTTAGTCCGATCACCCATGCGTACACATACATCGTGTGATACATCATCTTCAACTGTTCAAAGGTCTCCATAAGATTACTAGAGAGTAATTTCGAGCTCTCACTTCTCACAAATCATCATCTTGGTTTAAATCTAATTCTATGTTTTCATGTATATGTCTCAAACACCATCTATGCTTTGCATTTGGAAACACTTTTGCTATTGCATGTATTATTCCCTACATATAATGTAATTTATAGTTAGTATTGTTACAAGCTTAAAAAGAGACTTATGGTATATGTATTCATACCTTTTGTTTGTTAGATACAAAAGTGAAGTTGCATGATGCATCCAAATCCAAATTACCACTAAGACATTCCAAGAACCATGTCCATGAGCTTGTTCTCTCAGCTTCCACAACAACATAAGCTAGTGGATATATTCCATTGTTGTAATCAAGGCCCATAGTTGTTAGAATTTGTCCAGGGTGTAGTCCTTTCAAGAAACACCCATCCAATCCCAGTAATTCCCTTTTTTCAGATTTGAACCCCAACTTAAGTGCTCTAAGACAACTGTATATCCTTTTGAAAATACAACTTTCAACATTAGGATTTGGTTCATTACACACTTCCAACTTCACTGTTGTACCTGGGTTATTGGTTTGTAACTCCAAACAGTAATCTCTCAACAAATTATATTGCCTTTCATAGTCACCATAAAGTTGTTCCTTTGCAATTGATTTAGCCCTAAACACCTTCACTCTTGATATGCTTAATTCCAGATCCATTTAAAGCTCCTCCTATAAGGCTTTTACTAGGATGCGAGGGTTGGAATCCACTTTTTGGAGAATAGTGTTTAGCATGTATCTAGATGTACATGCCTTCACATTTCTACTTTGTAAGCATAAATGCTCATCAATAACTGTCTTCACCAACCATTGTTCCTATTTCATAGATCTAGATATCTAGCAAAAGGACAAGAATATTTTTGTGAAATTACAGTTTTTCCCTTCGATGTTACTTTACTTATAGTGGAGGGCCCACCACCAGTGGAATCTGGAACCACTCCTTTACATTTTACTCTTACTCTCAATTTTTCATTTTTGGCCATCTGTAGGGCCCTCCTTGTTTTTATTGAAAGCATCTTCATGCGACCCTGTATATCCTTTTTGGTTTTAAAACCTTGACCCACAAAAAATGGTGTAACATGAACTACCCCAGAAGAACAAGGCACCTTCTTGTTCATGTTTTTTAACATTCTCTTCCTTAGGTCTTCCTCGTATTCTTCACTTTCAAGCTCATCATTGTTGATCACACCTAAATCATCATCTTGGTTTAAATCTAATTATATGTTTAGTCCTTGTCCAAACAATTCAAACTCATCCACACAACTATTAAACTCTCTCATATCAACCTCCCAGTAATCTAAAATAGCTTGTGAGTCAATAATGTAGTCAGAATCATCCTCTTCTTCTGTATGATCTTTTGAATCATCTTTTGAATCCTCTGCATGCCTTTGTTCATCTTCTTCATCTTTTTCTTCTTCAACTTCAACCTCTCTTTCAAAGTTATCCATATTCTGATATCCATCACTACTAAAAGGCTCAAAATCATCTAGTATTTCCCTATGATCCTGGTAATTAATATCGATTGTATTGTATCAGTTTCTTTTGGTATATGGAAATACAAATCATCATTAAAATCATTAAACACATCTTGTTTGTTTGGCTCAAAAGGAACTAGGGGCATGTAAAAATCATACACACTATCTTCTCTCTGTTCTTGATTAGTTGATTCTTTAAGTGGGACATTCATGTCTAATTTCTTACTACAAGAACCAATTCCTTTCTTCTTGGGCCTAATCCTATTAAGTTCAAGAGAAGTATCATCATCTAGTTGCTCAATAATAACTTTACTTGGCGACATGAGGTAAGTGTGAAGTCTTGTAGAGCCCAGTTCAACGTACACATTAATCATTCTGTTTTGAGGGACATATTGAGCCATAGATATAACGTCTTGATCAGTTCCTAGAGCCTTCAATATAAAATCTAAGTCTAGAATAGGAATTCTATAATGATAGTACATTGTGTCATCCTTAGAATACCCTATCTCACGAATCATGTCATTTAGATCATGAACTGAAAAAAGATCAGTGTCAACAAAGTCAAAGAATGCCAACCTTCCCTCGACGTACTTTCTTCCAAGGAACTTTGTAAAAAATCCACCATGATGTATCTTTAAAGTAAAGAAATTGTCGTGACCATTTGAAAAAGAAAAATCGACGAGCTTTGAATATATAAACCAAGAAACACCAAACAAAAGATTAAATAACTCACTATAATCTTTATCAAGGTCGGGTGCAATCGTATGAGGACCACGTAAATTCCACATACACAATACCATTTTTAGTTGATAAACCCTAAAATCGGATGTGAGGGATGAAAGATGAAGATCTTCAAGATGATCAGTAAGCTAAAGTGAAGTGGAGATGAAGGGGGTTTCTTGGACTCTAATTAATCAGAGGATAGGTTAATGACGTATCACTACCTAATCCCATCTTAAATGAGCGCTAAACATAAAAAGACGAATATACCCCCACATTAATGACCCAAACGGTTACAAACAGACGGAGTTATGAAAGGGACCTCCAATGCAACTTTTACAAACCACAAGGGCCAAACAAATAAAAAAAATAGATATGGACTAAGTTTGTTACTTTTAGCAAACTACATGGACTATTTTTGTAATTTTTCCACACACACACACACATATATATATATATATATATATATATATATATATATATATATATATATATATATATATATATATATCAATGGGTATAACTTGTTCATCCATGGTAAGGTTTTTTGAACAACTGAAATATATTAAATCACTAAACTAACAAAGAAAGTAGAGAAAAAGCAAATAGTTTATTATGGGGTTTTGTAACCTTAATAAGGTATATACATTTGCTATATCTATTTGAGAACCAATTAGCAATTATGTCCATCCATGGTAAGTATTTGTTGGTAATATTAATTAGGTTGAATTATTACAAAATTTTGTCCTTGCTAATTTTTTTTTGGTAATAATATCTTTTCAAACACCTTAATAATTTAATAAAAGTTCATAGTTAAAAAAACATTTACTGGTAACAATGGAAACCTCATATAAGACCGAGTTGGATGGATGATAATAATCTGGCTAGAAATGGCAAGTGGAAGGGCTCGACAAACAGACGAACATTGTTTATGTTCTAACGAGTTAAGAGACAATACAATACATGATCCTCCAACAGGATGCTCTGATACTTGTTTTTAAACAAGATGGTACAATGTACCACCCAGAAATAACAGTAATATGTTTTTCTTTTTCTAATAAATTTCAACTATTAATATCAAAATGAAACGTTAAAATGGATAATACATTATCGTTATTCAAAAGTTTGAGCATAACTACCAAAGAGGAAAAAACTGGTGTTTGAGACATATACATGAAAACATAGAATTTGTTTTTGCTCCAACTTTGTATCGATGACTTGATTTCTATATTGAAGATTCTGGTGGGAAGTAAAAAGAGAAAAAAACTGGAGCTGATGCTTTTATACTCGGCGGTGTGTGTTATTTGGAAAGCTTGCAGTGCTTTGGTCTTCAGCAATAGGAGAAGTTCCTCTCTTAAGGTGCCATATGAAATTCAGTTGTTATCTTTTAATTTGTTTCAGAATAGATCGATGTTTAGAAATAGTTGTTGATCGGATTGGTCAATTTCTTCATTTTTTTGCTTGTAATTTATAATTTCTACTAGCTTCTTGCTAGTTTCTGTTATTAATATATATGTCATTAAAAAAAACCATTTTTACACCAAATGGCAATAGCCACCACAAGATTTATAAAGATATGATCTACCATGTTAAGTTGTTCAAGTTAGACAAAATTGCAAAAATGGTGTCTGTGGTTGACAAAATTCTGTAGTTTTGGTCCAAAACAAAATGTTGGTGGACAACTGGTCCAAGTTTAGATACATTGTGTGGTTTTGGTCTTTATGGTTGACATTTTGTGTGTTTTTTTTTTATCCAAACTCACCCTAAAATGACGAATATGTCCTTTGACAATTCTTTTTTTTTTTTTTTAACTTTTATTACTATTTCCATTAAAAAATAAAAAGAAAATAACACCACTCACTCTCTCTCTTTCTCTCTCTTGGACCCACCGATTTACCTCTTCCCAGTTCTTTTTAATTCAACCATCACCTCGGTTACCATTACCACTGCCTTACCGCTCGTCCTCTTCCTGGAACACCACCATTTTCATCACGGTCGAACACCGAAGAAGAAATAAAGAGCGAAGATGGTGGCGTCGGCGAAAAGGAAGAAAGTTTTCAGAAACCATCACCACCGGCACTATCCAACTTTCTTCGTCTCTAAAAAACACCACCGCCGAAGATCTACATTTTTCAGGTCTAGGGTTTTCATTTCCGAGGGTTAGGGTTTCATAACTGCGACAGATGATAGTGGAGAATGTTGATGGTATACGAGATTGATGGTGGTGGCCGAATCTATTCTAAAAACTCTAGCCCCGACGTTAGCTTTAACAGAGGAGTAGTGTATATGTGTTATGATTTTCGATAGAGGAGTGATGTATATGTGTTATGACTTTCGACAGAGGAGATTGATGGTGGTAGCCCTCACCGCGATTCGGGGAAATAAGCATGAGATTATTACTCTTTCCATGGATTCCATTAGTTCCACCAAGGTAAAAATACTAAAATTGTCCGTTTCTTCACTACACTATATTGAAAAGCTACGAGTTTAGGGTTCTTGATTATCTAGGTGTCCTTGAATTGGGGATGACTATGGTCCGACGGTCTGGGAAACAATTTGTGATGCTATTTTTGTTTCGCCAATCTAATGGTGATTGTTGATGATGGATCTCAGATTGATAGTGATTCTTGATGATGGCTCTCATTTTTCATCTTCATATTTCAATGATTGTTAACTATGAATTTGCATAGAGTGTGAATTTATGCTTATTGTTTTGAAATGGGGTTCTTAAGATAAGTGATTATGGAAGTTGGTTTGGGGGAAATTTTGCATCTGTATCTGGTACATTTTGCACAACATAAGTATACATAATTGGTTTTACTTAGCCACAACAGAATCTGGAGGATTAATTAAGATGGATGAAAGAGGGCTTCGTCTCCGGAACCTAGAGAGTTTCATATATATATATATATATATATATATATATATATATATATATATATATATATATATATATATATATATATATATATATATATATATATATAGTCAAGATCAAATAAGAATGAAATTTTTTGTAGGAAGGTAAAAAGTTTTTTTTCTACATATTTTTTTCGTGAACAAACAAAATGAATCATTAGATGATTCACAAGAAAAAATTCTCAAAAAAACATCTTGATGATTCATTTATACAATGATTTTGTTGTTATTCACTAAAATTATCATAAAAATGAATTTTTTTTCTTAATTTACTTAAAAATGAATCATAAAGATGTTTTTTTGGGAATTTTTTTCTTGTGAATCATCTTACAAATGAATCATCTAGTGATTCATTTATTTTGTTCGTCAAAAAAATATGTAGAAAAAAACTTTTTACCTTCCTACCAAAAAAAATTTCTTACCGGATCTATATATATATATATATATATATATATATATATATATATATGTGTGTGTGTGTGTGTGTGTGTGTGTGTATATGGAGAGATATGGAGAGAGAGAAGCCTTTTTCTCAATTTTAATTAACGAAAAACATTTGAATAAATATAAAAAAACAAATATATGGGTATAATAATCTTTTTATGTTGATAGAGACCAAAAATAATAGAAAGATTCAATTTTGGATCAATGGTGCACCAACTTTTCGTTTTGGATTAAAAACACATAAATTTGCCAACCACAAAGATCATTTTTGCAATTTTGTCTTCAAATTATGTAAACCAGAAAATTAAGAAAACAAACACTCTCTATACTTAGTTCCTGAGACTTTTTGAAGTCTCCTTGTACTAGAAATTTTTTGATAAAATCTTAAATTTATTTTTTAATAAAAAGTCTCAATTATTTAACATTATTTAACATTTTTTTCAAATTATGTGATTTTTCCAAAATAATATATATTTTTTTATTTAAAACTTTATTGAAAAGTAACTTAAAATAATTAAATTTTATAAAACCCTTTTAACTATTTGGTAAGAAAAGAGATAAAAATCAAAAAAAGATAACACCAAATTTGTAACTTTCTTTTAAATCCACTCCAAATTTGTTTGATTAGGTTAAAGTCAATCTTATGGAAAAATAAGATAGAATCCAAAGGCTGGCGGCACACGCATTACGAAAACCTTGTGACCCGCAAACACCTTTTGGTCCCACAACAAAATGGGCAAAAGTGGCTGCTTTCATAACCCCCCACCATAAAGAAAAAAGCGAATATGCTTTGCTCTCATCTCTGACAACCAAAATCAAAATCTTTCATCTTCATCCTCAAGCTTCGTCTCTCGTATAAAATCCCACAAATTACTCGTATTATTACTTTACTTTTAGTTTTCTTTTTCAACCAATGGAGACGCTACATCAGATTTTCCTAACGGTTATTGCAGCTTTTGTGTTCTTTGTCCTGATTGCAAAGATCGCATCTTCAGCGACCAATGGCGATGAATATGATCATCGACGTAGTAGGATCCGTGATTTCAGTAAGGTTTTGGCGGAGGAGCTTAATCCAAAGATGGAGAAAAGCATTAGTAAAAGGAAAAGTTTGAAGAAAGTCCGATTTGCCGTCGATCATGAAGGAACTTTAGTCAATAAAGTCGTCGCCGGACCATCGGAAACTAAACAAGTAGTGTTTGAGAGTCAACATGATGCAGATATGATACGCTTCAATGACGTCGGATCGGTGGTGAAGTCACTGGAGGAAGAGATTGGCGGTGTTGAAAAAGCTGAATTCGCTGATTTTAAGCCAATGGCGGAATCTGTTAGCCCTAGAGTTATTGAACACGATGAAACAAAAGAGGGAAATACTGATTCGATTGATCAGAAATCAAGCCAAGCCACAATGATTCCTGACGAAAATGCAGATATTGGCGCGAAGCTGCTGTGTGATGATGGTATGGAAAAGAACGACGACGAAAGCTTTAGTGCCGTCGAATCGGTGGTGAAGTCACCGGAGGAAGAGTTTGGCGGTGTTGAAAAGGCTGATTATGATGATTATAAGCCTAACGCGGAATCTGTGATCCATAGTGTTGTCGATGACGATCAAACCAAAGAGGGAAATACCGAATTAATTGATCAGAAGCTAAAAGGGGTAATGATTCCTGAACAAACTGCAGCTATTGATAACAAGATGTGTATGAAATTGAAATTGTTTTGTGATGATGGTATTGATGAATCCGAGAAGGAGAATGAAGGTCTGATTTCCGAGGAAGATGATTCAGATTCCGATGATGATTGGGAGGGAATTGAAAAGAGTGATTTGGAGAAGGTGTTCGCCATGGCTGCAGATTATGGTAAACAAGATGATCATCTACAGAGTTTAGGAAGTGACATCCAGATGCAATTGTACGGACTTCATAAGGTTGCTACCGAAGGCCCCTGTCATGAAGCTCAGCCCATTGCTTTAAAGCTCTCCGCACGTTCCAAATGGTATTTCTCAACTTTCCTCTGCATTTTTTTTCATCCATTTTTGCTTAATTAAATAAGTTATATCTATTTTTCTGTTATTTTTATCATCTAGAAGAAAACAACTATTAATTGTTCGAACAGAATTGTGAAAACTATCTTGGTGGATTAGATATGGCTTGATGATATCTTGTGGTTGCAAGATTAAAATTGAAAAAGAAAGAGACATAATGTAGGTTATGACCACTTATGATTAGTTGTTGTCGACACATTAGTGAAGCAAAACCGACATAATAACAATATTGCAGATACATTAGTTATGAAAAAAAAAAAATGGATTAGTTAAGAAGATGAAAAAGCATCTTAGGACCTTATAGTTTTGATTGGTGATTAAGATATGAGTGATGGAGGGCATTACTATGCAAGGAATGCGTGGCAAAAGCTCGGGAATATGGATCCGGATGTGGCTATGGAGCAGTATATCACTCTTCTTTCGGAGAAAGTTCCTGAATGGTCACAAGGGATTCATTCTCTTGTAAGTGTTTTTATGTAACTCCTCATACGCATCTATATGTTAATATTAACATACAAAATGTGCGTGTTTTATGTTAATATTAACATGTATGTTAATATTAACAAGTATGTTAATATTAACCTATCCAATGTGCTCAATGCATATATGCATTGGACACATTGGTTTTTAAATTTGATACAACTCATCCTATATGAGGTTGTACTTTTGGCAGGGAGCCGATTTATCTAGCTCAAGTACAACCTCAACTCTAGTCACTTCTCAAAAGTAAAGGTTGGCTGTGACTTTCTTTTATGTATTTACTTGTTAATATTATTAGCCTCCCATTTGATAGTATAATTGGTGCAGGAAAAGTGGAATAAAGTCCTGTATTGATGCCGATGAGCTAAATGGAGTTTGAGATTTCATATAATAAGGTACGTGTTTTTGAGTTTCGGATATTGTGAAATACTGAAATACTATTACTATTATTGTTACTGTGTTTTGACTCTGTCTTTTATATGTCAGGCTAATTATTGCGGTTGACATTTCTGCTACTACGAGAAATGGAGGCTAATTTATGCTATGTAATTATAGTATATATTTATTATTTTAGCATTGGTGTGTTTGATTTAATAAATTGTTTGAATATTGATGTATATGAAGTTAATTATTTGTATAGATTAATTTAAATGACATTAAGTAAATACGTTTACAAAGGCATAAAATTGAAGTACACACGCATAAAATTGAAGTACACGATTAATGGTCAAAAACCATGCTTATTCTAAGTGACACTTTCATCTTTAGTTCTTGTCAGGAGTTTTGTGAGGACCCCCGCCAAATCCATTTCCTCCATCATCTGAACCGATGTCACCACCATCGCCGCCAGCAAAGCTGCCACCGCTGCCAACGCCAACACCACCGCCACCGCCACCTGAACCTGCAAAGTTTCCATAACCAGAGCCTGGAGACGTTCTTGAACCATATCCGCCAACACCACCACTAAAACCTCCTCTCGAACCATAGCCACCACCACCCATGGAACCGCCGCTACCACCTCTAAAAGGGAATCCTCCGGTGCCAAATCCACCCCAGTTGCCAGGTCCTGAGCCAAAACCACCGCCTCCACCTCCGCCAACGTTGCCATATCCAGCACCGTAACCACCTACACCACCTCTGCCGCCACCATTGCCCCCACCTTGGCCCATTCCACCACCACCATGATGACCACCACCACCCCCACCCATATTACCACTGCCTCGACCCATATTACCACCACCAGAACCACGACCACCTCTTCCTCCATTGCCATATGCACCACCACCTCTGGCTCTCGATCCATATCCTCTCCCTCCGCCATTCCCATATCCTACCCCTCCGCCAGACGCTCCCCCTCCACCACCACCACCACCTCCTGCACCGCCATTTCCAGGTCCATCATACCCAGCAGCCGTAGTGTTAGTCCGGTTACTCCACATACTCCCCAATCCAGTTCCTTCAACTCCTACATGAAAATCAAGCCCTAACCAAACAGTCGCAAAGAAAAGAAGACACCAGGAAACAACACGCATTCTCCCCATTCCTTCCCCTAAACAACTTTGAAGAAATACAAAAACTCTACACTCACTAAAAATCTAATTATCGTTTAATTACTCCTTCATGAGTTTAACAATGACGTTTTTGATGAAAACTTAAACTAAGTTTAAAGGAAATCAACTCTTGGGGTAATTGAAAAACGAGAAGGGTGGAGAGAAAGGGAAAAGATGAATTGTGTGTGAAGGCGTGAAGGTGTTGTATATGTACAGTAATGATCCGTTGAAGGGAGGAAGTCTGAGTGCATTGTTGGTGTAGCGCAACAGGTGTGTGATTTTGTGTGAAGAGTTTGGTAGTGAGAACAAGTTGCATGATACTTAAAAAATGAGGTGATGAATGGTCTTCTATTTTGGTGATTGAAATTGGTCAACAACTTGGATATCGTAGCTGTTTAATGTTGCCATCGGGCTTGAGTCCTATCGAGTCCACTAGCGAAATGGACTATTCATATCAATGTAAGTCGGGTTTTTTAAACTGATTAAATATTAATAGATTGGGTGTTATTCACTTGGTTTAATCCCTACCCAATCAGCACCTCTAGGTGTAACTGAATTGGTTTTTGTTGTTTGATTCAGAAAATCGGGTAATGGAATGAATGATACACTGAAATGCAATTATTACATTTGGTTAGTATGCATAACAGTTCTTAAAAAGATATTCAAAACTTCAAAGTAAATTCCACAAAAACAGCAAAACCGATTATTAGGTGTTTTTTTTAACAACTTTATTTTATTAATGGCTAGCAAGCATTTAAGCAAAAACGACAAAACAATACATTGTGATAGCCAAAGGGTTTTTGCAACCAAGACACTTAATTGATATAAATTCATAAATATCTATGATTGAACTGGTGAAAAAAAAAAAAAAAAAAAACAATCTTCACTAAAATTGTCCTTTCTAAATATGTTTGAATCAAACACCATTGTATTTCTCTAAGTCGATAATACTGATAACTATATTTTTGTAAGATCATAAGATATATTCATCTTTCATCTTTTATTTTTTGAGTGTCACATCACCTTTCTGTTTTCCCCTCATTCTACTTATTAAAAGGTACCTTTCACTACCTTTCATTTTTATTTTTTTTAAATAAAAATAATTGACTTTTAAGATTTATAATTCAAAAAATAATTATAATTTTTTAAAAATGATTAATAAACACAAAAATTAATTAATATAAAAATACTTCATTAATTAAAATATAAATTTAAAAAAAACTAGAAAACAACCAAGATTTAAGAAAACACAACCTAGATTAAAAAAAAAATGATATGATCTACGAGAAATATTTTTTATGATCTTCTCTTTGTTCTTCAAAACTAGATAACAGCCGATTCCAAAAGATGGTCAGTGTTTTCCATCAAGAACTTTATATCCGCCATTTCTTGCCTTTCCGTGTGCTCTTTTTTTTTCTTTGTCGAATGGCAAACGTTCAACGAAATTCATATTGTATTGATCAAATTTTGTCATCATTTTCCGCATTTCGTCTGCGTCAGTGCTGAAGTCCAATGCATTGGAAGAAGTTCCGCATTTCGAATGACAATATCTTCTAGCTCGAGTTCGGCCACCACATTTAAATCATGCCCAACACGAGCATCGAAAGAAGTTGTATATTAGTGTATCCACTGGAGCCCGTTTTTGTTCTTTTTGAGTGTCCTAATATAACATCTTGTTCATATTTTCTCTACCTTGGACAAAGAATTAACAATTTCCAATGCTCGTTATACTTGACTTTCCTGTATCCTCGCGAAAAAAATATAAAGCCTCTTGAAGAATTTTTTTCATCTCCTTGACCGTTTTTCCTTTAGGTTTTAGGTTGTTATACAACCTGCTCACTTTTTAAACGGCTTTCAATATTTCTCGAAACTTTAAATAAAGTTGGTGTTTGGTACGGTACTCTTAATCTTTATCTAACTCCTTGTGAAACCTTTCAAAAATGTGAATCCAAAAATGATCTCATGGTTGTGCATTTCAATGCGCTGAGTCCTTTGAAATGTCAACACAAGCTTTTGTCAACACTTTCTCTTCTTGGGGACTCTATACTGTCAGCCTCTGCGTTGTAATCTCGTATGCATGTTGTTTTCCTTTGTGGCATGGTGGGGGTAGAGTGGGTTGAGTTTCCCATAAAATTTTATCCTCCAACTCATCGAGGCTTTCATATTGTGGTTGAGAGTGAAAGGGTGGTATTTGGCTTTGGGGTTGAGATTGATAGAGTAAGGTTTGACTTTGGGGTTAAGATTGATAGAGTGGGGTTTCGCTTTGCGGTTGATTTGGTGAAAGTTGATCGGGAAAATCAACAAAGTTGTTGAACATATTTGGAGTTACACTTGACACTTACATAGGGTAGTATTGCCTAACATTTTGGTATTGGAATTGCAGAGGAGATTAGATGGGGGAATCAAGTTGGAGACGATAAACCCCTTGGGATGAATCGATGGCAAAAATGTATCGAGTTGAGGTATTTGAACTCAAAACATTGGCTTTTTTTTTTTCTTATATAGGAGTTTGAAGTTGGATTGTTGGGATTCATTTTTTCAAGAAAATAGAGTGAAATTGATAAAAGACACTGTGAATTTGAAGGAGAAAGTAGTGAGGTATTTATAGATGTGAAAAATGGGGTGTGTGTGTGTGTGTATATATATATACACACACACACATACACACATACCTTAATAAGAATTTAGCCTCAAATGCTGAATTTTAAGAAGTACAACCTTAAACATCATATAAAACAATATTATGCATTCCAGAAAAATCAAATCTTATCCTATCAAACAATTGAAAAAGTTGGCCCTCACTTTCAGTCAAATGAATCGATATAACATCTCCGCTTCTTCGACCAACTGTCACCACCATTCATCACCCTCTCTAATAGCAAGCCTAATCAAATTCAACCTTAGCCTCTCTAAAAACCCAGTCGTTTCCACCACCACCATGTCATCGCCTATAACGAACAACTCCCACCACAAATCTAGAATCATTGATGCCACGATCTGTCACACACCCGAACCAGACGGCGGAAACGTCCGAGGGCTATTGTGACTCAATTGAATACCATCACAATGAATATACATGAAACATAACATCATACAATACCAAGAATTGGAATAGTACAACTGGTAGTGTGTACATTTAATACATTGTTTCATAACATTACATTCCCAAAAAGTAAATTGTTCGATACTGAATAGACAAACAACAAAACATCACTGGGTACATTTTTCCCTTCGATTTACCTGTTACCTGAGAATACAAGTATTTTGAAAAACGTCAACATATGAAATGTTGGTGAGTTCATAAGTAATGTTTGAAATATAGTGGTTTGAATGTTTTTGAAAATCACCAGAAAATCCGATATTTTCTGAAAATAACTTAGTATAAAAAGTGTGAAGATCCGTAAGTATGCTTGTTTGTTTCTATAAATGTAAAAGAGCGATTTGTAAAACTCGGTATGTAACTCGTAGGTGTATTAACTGAAAACCCTAGGAAAACCCGATGTTTTCCTAATACTTTGCATCAAAAAAAATTTGTATCATGTTATTTCGTTACGACAGGTGTATTCGTTGAGTCCCGGTGACGTTGGATTAATTATGGATTGTGAATTGTTATAAACACACATTAATGAAAATGACTAGTTTACAACCATACAAACGATCCCTTAGGTGTCGCTCGCACTATTCACTTAATCCAAACTGTGACAACCGTCAAATTCTGGTCAATTCAAAGTCAAATAAAGTCAACAAGTCAAACCGGTCAGCTCAACTAACCCTTGTGTACTTGGACTTACGTTTAGTATTTACTAAACAACTCGCTATTCTGATAAGAAAACATAAATCGAAAAGTACGTACAACTAGATCTCTTTAACCTAAAAACTGTAGTACGTGGCGAGCCAAACTGATAAAACAATGATGCATACTCATCGGGAGTGTGTAAGATCCTTAAATAAGGCTTAACAGGGTTTACGAACCATGCATTGCGATGCCGGACACTCACAATTGTCACACATGGATCCTCTCTCAATCGTTTTCACTTTATCTCTCTCTATGTCAAATCTCTCCCAAATCTCTCCAAGTATGTGAAATCTCTCTCAAATATCTCTCTGTATGAGAAATCTCTCCAAGAATGTCAAATCTCTCCCAAATCTCTCCAAGTATGTGAAATCTCTCTCAAATATCTCTCTGTATGAGAAATCTCTCCAAGAATGTCAAATCTCTCCCAAATCTCTCCAAGTATGTGAAACCTCTCTCAAATATCTCTTTGTATGAGAAATCTCTCCAAGAATGTCAAATCTCTCCCAAATCTCTCCAAGTGTGAGAAATCTCTCCCAAATCTCTCTCAAAAGTTTCCCGTAACTTTTTGAAATCATTCGGGTCATTCCGGCCCTTAACCGGGTCAAAAACGGCTTGAAACGGGGCGAAAACGAGAAAAATAGGCTTTAGGAACCGAAACCGGAGTGAGAGGCTTCTTAAACCAGAGACCGAGCCTCTGGTGGCTAAGCACGCGAGACCGAGCCTCTGGTGGCTAAGAGGCCAGAGACCGAGCCTCTGGTGGCTAAGAGACCAGAGACCGAGCCTCTGCCTCTGTCGCTTCACGGTCTGCTCCTCTCGGTCTCTGTTCGCTACTCCGCCCCTCTGTCTCTGTTCGCGCCCTCTGTTCCCTTCTTCTCGCTCTGCCTCTGTCTCGCGCCCTCTGTTCTCTCCTTCCCCCTCTCGGCTCCTTCCTTTCTCTCCTTCTTCCCTCTCGGTTCCGCCTCCCTCTCTCTCTCTCGGTTCAGCACCAGAAGGCCGAGCCTCGGCCAGAACTCGCATTTTTGTCACTTTTAGCCCATTTTTGATATTTTTAACATTTTAAGCCCGTTTTTCGTGATTTTAAAGCGGGATTTTCTCCAGAAATTATATTTTAACATAATAAACTCTAAATATTCATAATTTAAACATATTTTGATGAAAATCATTATTTAAATAATAAAAATCAAATGGGTGAATTATTAAAGGTGGAGTGTTGACTTTGCCTTATCCAATGTCACAAGCAACCACCCCACACCCACTCTTTGACTAACCACACCTCTCCACCTTACCTAGGTCACATCAAAGTCCTTTCCACCCAATTTACACTCATTCCCACGTTTTTAGAGCTGGAACAAACATCCTCTCTCCTCATTTTCTCTCATTTGCCCTCATTTCACTAAGTATCAAACACCACCTTCTCTCAAACTTTTCCCACTCCAAACTCGAGATTCAAGGCTGATCTTCACGTGTTCTTCCACTCTTAGTAAGTATAATTCATCCTCCTTATGATTATTTCACTTCATTCTACTCAAATCATGAATA